GAACGAGGTCGAACCATCACGACGTTCGATCCCCCTTTAATATAGTAGAGATTTATGTTCACTCTCACAATGCATGTCTTACTATCCCCACTTGCGCTCTCGGTGTAACGGGTCATCGACCCTGTTTGGATACTCTAACACAGTTAGAGTTAGAGTTATTTTCTAACCCACTCTAACCCAAACTAGCTGACTGCCCATGCGTTGCTACGGAGCGGGACAACAATGTTTTATTGTTGTATTTGTCCCGCTTCACCCTTCGCTTCACTGGTTCTATGTTTTTTTGACACACGTCTTATTTATCATCCCACCAATAACCAGACAAACATTGATCTTCCTTCACTGGTCCGCCACTTCGCTCTAGCTTTGATGTCCTGGTTTAACTTCACTTGATATAGCTCCATTGAGATGATAAGCTAACACTTACGATGTTTGTCATTTGTTCTTTTATGGATTGATAGCGCTGATGTGTATGTGTGTTTTCATGAGGATTTTTTTTACTAACCAGACCATTAAAAAAATGCTTCCTGAGTTTTCCCTCTTTCATTCTCACCAATCATCACAGAATTCTCGAAATAAGTGAATTCATCATTGTGCTCACTTGTGCTCCTGGTTAGCTAAGACCCTAAATGTACTTCCAGTCTGAAGTATGGCAGGACCAGTGAAATTTAGTCCTAATGGCTTTTATTTAGTCTGAAGTATGGGCCGGCAACTCTTTGTTTCCCTCTATCTAGTGGTTCATATGTACAATAGAGCAACAACAAGCCTCTGATTAATCACTGTTCTCGTCTTTACATTTCAGAACTCATACACCTGATAGATTTGTTATGCCTTGTGCTAATTCTTCACCTAGCTACTAAATGTAAACTATCCCTTGTGCTAGTTCCTCACCTAGCTATAGAATGTACATTTTACTTGGTTCCTATTACACATTTTATTTCTGATCACGGCGATTCACATGTATACCCTTATAGAAAGAATAACGAACCCAATTACTTCTATCACTGGTGAGATAGTAGAGGCGATCAAGTATACCTTCCCTCTACTCTACGACAAGCTCCGTCTCTTGCAGGCCCCTACTCCGGCTTAAACTCTGATGCTTATGCTCTGAGTATAGTAAACCAAATCGAAAGGAAGGCATATCAAGTTGGAAGTTGGAACTAGCAGTTTCACCTAATAAGGTAGAACCATTATTCAATAAAAAACAACCTCGAGAAATTCTAGAAAATAAATTAATTCATCACTTTCTTTTTTAGAACTATAACAAGGGCACAAGGTAATACCATTAAAATATTTCTTAATTACCATGTCAAACCATCCTACTAAACGTAAAAGAACATGCCAGCATGAGGCACGATGAACCAAAATCCAACTACAATATAAAAGTTTTGGGAATACTGCACGGAGGTAATAATGAACTATATATAAAATAAAAATGAAAAGTAAGGCCATGTCCAATGTAAGTCGTACTTGCAATTTTGCTTACTTGCGGGATGCCTTATTACTTTTGAGCTTCCTCATATAGAATTCAAGCAGTTTGGCCTTGAGGACTCAGATAGTTCCAAAACTGATTGTATGACATGGGCATGGACAATATAGGACTTGAGAATCACAATAGAAAATCAGATCTAATTTGGCAACATCACAACAACAAAAGATTAGAAATAAGTAAATGTCAAATTGTGTTCCAAACAGTACAAAAAGTACAAGAGGAACTTGTACTTTTCCCAATATTTGATAAATCTAGGCTCACTAATTTGTTCTTTTATTATAAAGCTCGGGATTGTAAATCTGCACGCAGAGTACAAGCAAGGAAAATCATGCTCAAGATGCTCACCCTACAGCTGATTGGAGCAATGAGGTTCTCGATTCAGTAGTGAAAAGGGGAATGGAAAAAAAGATTTGCACCAATATCATGCATATACTGGCCATAACTAATAACCACCATGTAACCATGCGGCATTTTTACAATCATTAAACACACCATCAATCAGGCAAAATTTGCATCTCATAATCTGTAAAAAATGCATACCATATTTTTACCTAATAAGTAGTAATAATATCGTATCTTCGGAAATTTCATAAGGAGTAACAATACATTAAATAATACAGTAGAATGAAAGGTTATCAGTTTATACCTACTGCATATGGTTACTACTGATAGTACGACAATACCTAACACATTTCTTTGAAGTTCTGCCAGCAATCAGTCACTTCGGTCATAATAATCCTCAAGGAAGGCTGCCCATCACCCCGCCATCATAAGCCACAAGAAATATTCGTTCTTATTCCACCTATTTGTGCCAAATCTGATCCAAAGATGAATGGACCACCTCTACTTTTATACAAGTATACGTGGCATAAACAGAATACTATAGTATTTGAACTGGATTGCCATGACAAAGTAGTTTGTAAATTATAGAATTGAACTAACAATTTAAAGATAACAACTGACGTCGAAACTGACCCCGTTATGGAGACTATATATGACTCCAGCTGAGAATGTGGCACTGTCCAAGAGGAAGCCATCAACATGCCAGCCCGACAGCATCTTGGTCAGGTATTGGGAGATGCTGCTGCCATGGCTCGCGCTCGCCTTGGCACTGGCATCGCTGCAGTAGCCTGCATGAGCCCGTGTTGCAGGGGCTGCTGATGTTCTATTCCTCCCCCGGTTCCTCCTGACAGTGATGACATTGTGGGTTCCACCGGCACCGTCGAGAAGGGCACGTCGGTGAGCAAGAACCGACTGTGCAACCTTGTAAGCTCACTGGACATGTGCACCCATGGTCAATCAAGATGTATTACAAACATCTGTCACACTCATCAAATCATAGTAGAAGATATCGAGCTCATCAAATCATGAACAAAATCCCACTTCACATAAACTTGTACAGAATGTGAAAGCATGCACTTATGCAGTTTGTCAAGAATCGCATCCAGTGCCTGCCAGTGGGGCACCCGCATTTGTCCTTGGCTCCTTGACATCCCTAATTCCACCAGAAAAAAAAGAATAGGTGGAGACCGGCAAAAGAAAAAACAGAGAAATTGAACCTGACACCAGGAGCCGCTTCACACTTCGTGGCTCCGTGCGCTGGCAGCATCGCTCCTCCCAATCCCAACAAGCTGAAAAAGAGCAGAACTCACGTTACAATGACGACATAAAATTAGGCGCAAAACGAATACATCGACATCTTTCATGACTTGACCCAACGCTTCTTGGGTGGCTTGGCCTGCTACTCCCTGCCACTGCCGTCGCTTTCTTGGACGTTCCCATCGCCGTCAGCGACCCCAACATCCATGATCCAGCGGAGGAAGGAGGTTGGAGGTGGAGGACCCGTACATGCCGCTATAGTGCTGGAGGCAGGGCGGCGACGAGGGGAAGAAATCATCCACGAGAAGGCGAGAGGATGCGGCACAACACATTGGTGGGGATGCCAAGGGCAGCGCTACGAGTTGACGTGATTCCCGTATCCTCCAGCACGCTGGTAGTTCCACTCCGGCGACAACGACCGTAGCATGGCTGCTGCTGCCGTCGCTTTCTTGGACGTTCCCATCACCGTCGGCGATCCCAGCATCCATGATTCAGCGGAGGAAGGATCTAGCATGCTCGACGCCGCGGCCATGCCGCCGCTGTAGAGCACCACGACCTCCCAGTCCTTGCGCCGATGGTGATGGGGGTATCCCATGCGACCAATGTGGGTGAGGGACGGTGAGCATAGGCGGCGGAGGCGGCAGCGAGTTTTCTATTGAGACACATGGGATCGAGAATGAGAGGGCTGGGGGAGATCATGCCTAGGACGTGGGTCGCGGAGATGAGAGCATGGGCTGGTTTTCCGGTTTCCTCGTCCTCGTGCATGCGGATGGACCGATTTTTTTTGGGTTTCCTTGTCCTCGTGCGTGTGGGATGGACTGATTTTTTTACTGCGCTTGATTGAGGGGTGGGACCATGGAATCGAACGAGGCGGGGATGGAACGAGGTTGAACCATCACGACATTCGATCGCCTTTAATAGTAGAGATAAGTACCTCTCCACCGGAATAGCTGGGTTGGATGGAACTAACCCACTCTAATTCTTTCTATTTAGATACTTGTGGGTTATTTGAGTCTCCAACTAACTTAAACTAACAGGGCAAGTCCCGTGAATGCTCTCTAACACGCCAAAATGGAATGGAACTGACAACCATTAATTGCCTTGCCTCTCGCGGCAACGGTGTCAAACCCGGCATCAATCATGAAGCGACCGCATTAATTGTCTTGCCTCTCGCTGGAAACGACCCCCACTTCCCCGTTCTCCTCTCCGCTCCTCTCCTCTCCTGCCGCACTCCACGGCTGCACGCCTGCACACGTACAAGAGAACCCCAAGCGTCAGGCCCCAAGTCGACTGGGCTCTCCCATCGGATCCAAGCCGAATATGTCGTCGTCGGTCGGAGGTGGAGGGGGAGGCGGCGCGGCTTTGGCCGGAGGGGACGTCGCTGGCCTTCTGGACAAGGCCAAGGAGCTGGACCAGCTGCGGAAGGAGCAGGACGATGTGTCCACCGAGATCAATAAGATCCACAAGAAGATCATCTCCTGTAAGCAATTTGCTCGAGGCCCGTCTCCCTTTTCCATGCTGTCATTTGTCTGGTTGTCATTTAGGTCGATTCGATACGGATTTTGAGCTCCTTCGTATTAGTTACTTACATTAGGGAATTTTGGTGGTATGTTCGACATGCTTAGCTGCTTGATTGCATTTTATTTGTCGTGCATGTGAGTGCCAGATTTGTGCACGAAGGGCTCTTGTCTTCACTCTGGGATGTTGGAAATGTTTTCTTTTGGCTTTGTGTATCAGATATTCAGATACGTTGTCGTTTTCCCTTTCTTCACTGATATATTTATGCCTTCATTGATTTGTTATGCTCCACTGCCTGGCGAGGGCTTTCTTGTTGGTGTGAACTATGTGTCAACAGAAGTAAAAGTTACTCCATGACAATTCTTCTCAACACGTCCCGAAGAGCAACATTAGATGCCATAGAGGTGGGCAAAGGGGTGGTTTCCAGGAAGGGGGAGCAAGATAAATTCGAAGAGTTATTTAAAAACACCATGCGTTAAGTTATCTAGCTTAACTCTATGCTATTCATTAACATAAACATAAAAGTATAGTTAACAATCCTGTGTTGGCATTTTGTAAGATACTAAAATCTGTAATATAAGCACTAATTGCTGATGAAATGCTGATTAACAGTTGATTAATTGCTGATAAAAGTATTAATTGAGTAGTATCATAGCACACAAAAAGATGTTGTGGCACTATAATTAATGACGAAAGAGGTGATAGTACATAAAATGAGAACATTTAATGCTAAATAAATCTTGTATACTCCCTCCTTTCCGGTTTATTAGTCTCATCTCATTTTCTTGGTTTTTCCGGTTTATTAGGCTCATCTCATTTTCTCTTACCTCATTTATTGCTATGCCATGTCGTCAATATGCCTAGTTGACATTGCATTAGGATGTTTATACTACCCTATGATAGCCCATGATTAGTAACCTTGTATGATGTGATTCAGTAGTTCTGTGAAAAAAAAATGTGACGGAAAAGAAGAGTTCTAAATTAGTAGTTTTCTTGGCATGGCCTTACAAAAGTATTCATGTAAGAAAAGAACAGAAAATCAGGTATTTAAAGTTGCTTGTTCTGTACCGGAAAACAATCAGCAAATATTCGTGTAATTTCCCTGCTAGTCTCTAATATGGAATTCAATAATCAGTTTGCCCCTTACTGTCTCACTTACTAAGGCATCTAGGTCCATCTTGTTGGTTTACTTGGTCAATTGCTTATCCCTTCAACCTCCCAATCCATTCCACTTGTAACTGAATTTGCAACTAGCTTGTTTGTAGTATCCTGATAAGGGTCAAACCAATGAATGAAATGCACCATTTTTGAAAAATGATCAACTACCACAAAACAAGCAATAAATGTGGTCATTTGAAAAGTTGCAACATTTGAAGCATCATAGCTCTTATTGCAAGGAATGAAATGCGCCATTTTGGAAAAATGATCACCTACTGCTTCTACTTGATCATCATAGACCAACAAATCCATTTGAGAGTCGTCTTTCTTTGATGGCAGTGTCCTTTCTTCACGCTCACCATCTTTGCAGAGCTTAACAAGATAATTCACGCCAACAACCAGAGCCAACAAGCCTCGCTTAGAAGCTCTTTCTTCATCTAAGCTTTTAATAACAAAGATAGGCCTTTCCATGTTTAGTTCTAGGTAACCCAAGCACAGAGTCTATACTAACATCTTCCCAAGGTGCATGTGGAATAGGCAAAGTTATATAAAGACCATGGGAAAGAGCTTTTGACTTAGATTTCCGACATGTGATGCAACGATGGACAAAGCGCCCAACGTCTCGAAACATCCTTTGTCAAAAGAAGTTGTTGGAGAGCGTGGCATAGGTCTTGTCACATCCAAAATGTCCCATGAGTCCACCGCCATGTGATTCTTGCAAAAGTAGTAAACATAAAGAACTTTCGGGAAAACAGAGTTTGTTAGCACGCATAAGATATGCATCACATATAGTATGCTCCCACCAAGTGCCATCTTGGCAGTGAGCAAAAGGCTTAGCAAAAACTTTGATGTGATCAAATCCAATGACATTACGCTCAAGCTTTGAAGCAACATGTATTTGCGGGGAAGAGCATTCGCCACAACATCATCTTTACCCTTCTTGTACATGATGACATAAGGAAAATATTATATGTATTCACTCCATTTAGCATGTTGACGGTTTAGTTTGGCTTGGCTCTTAAGGTTCTTAAGCGGTTCATGATCGGAATGGATAACAAATTCCTTAAGGCGCAAGTACTGATGCCAAACTTGCAAGACTCAAAATATGCAATT